AGATTGTTTGTTACCAAGAGACCAATTAAAATAATGAGAAAACCAAACATAAAACTATAAAATACCTAAAAATAATAAGAACAATTTGATCAACTCAATATTCTTTCTTTTATTACCATTTCAACATTAGAAACATGATGTGTTTTCATAACTTTTTCTTGATAATTACCAATAATCGCATCAGCAACAAGAGCCAAACAAATAAGGATTACACCTGAAGATTAATTATTTTGATTACATAAAAAAATTAGTTTTTTTTTCCTATTAAATTTACCATATGTATTAAAATTTGGTTGTACTTTGGAATCGGCTAGAGTAAAAAATATTAATCCAATTGACATACAAAAAGCAGCAGCAACATCATAACGATTGAATCTTTTTTCTTGATAAAAAAGATCATTTATTTCTTAATAGTTTTTTTTTGTTTATTTTCTTTTACTTTGAATAATAATACCACCAATTAATACAGGTATTAGTTTACAACATTTGAATATTAATAGTGTTCTATATGAATAGATGTATAAGGATAATAATAAAATGAAATATGAAAATTTTCTTACGGATAATTTAAATAACCAACGGCATAATTTGATAAACCCATAGTACTGACAGACAATGAAGCAAGAATTATGTAAGATCGATAACTTGCTCTAGAAATAAAAAGATTTTTGTAGAAAAGAAATATTTCAAATAATTCAATACCTTCGTTGACTTAAGCCAATAAAACCAAGTTGCATAAATGAAAGAATACCATAAATAAAAAATTGATAACATGTTAAAAAACCAAGCTGTATTGCTAAAACCTTTTAATGTAAATAAAAGTTCCTTAATAAAAAAAAAATGAAATGGAATTTTTAGTTTTATTTTTTATTGAAACTAACTATTAGATAGCTATAAGCTACATAATATAAGAAAACTTGTGCAGATAATCCAATAAAACGAATTGGATGTTGAGGAGATAATGATGAATATCGTTTGGAAAGAGAGATTTTTGATGTAGAATGTGTTATTCCTTCATGTTCGTGAGACCTCATATTACCAGTTTCATTCGTGTCAACTGTGGTTGCCACTTTGATCAATGAATGAGATGGTAATGATTTAGAATCTACAAGGCACAAATGATACACATGAGTGACCAATATTCTTTCTCATAGTCAAACACGTGAAGTTACCTTGATGATGTATTTTATTTATTTCCATTGATCTAAATACATTGATTGATATTGTCTAACTCGAACAAAAATCTAGAATAATTATGATTGAATCGTTTTTTTCAACCAGTCATGAATGTCAAAAAAAAAACACTTCTTTTTCTACAACTTCTCGTTTTTTTTTATTTTAATAATAATTTACCATGCTTTCTTTTTCTTTTTCTTTTTCTTTTTTATACGCTGAACCGTAAAGAAAAAAAGGTCTTATATACACGTAACACATCAACGACAAGAAACGCATTAGAAAAAAACGTCTATTTGCAATGAATATATAAATATATGTATCAGCCCATAGGCTCAGATCCGATAGAAATGCTAAAAAATACAGATAGACAACAGAAAATAGAGGAAAAAAAAGAACGCTTTTTTTTAATAAATACTTTGCATTTTGTATGATCGGAACTGTGAAAGACACTGGCAATACAACATCAAGAAGAAAAAAGAAATCGAATTAAAAAAAAAAGAAAATGCAATTCGTATGTACACAAATACACTGGTGTAGAAAAATGTCAATAGAAAAAGAAAATGAATAAAATGCAAATGCAATTTGGCGTAAAAATGCCAGACGTATACTGTACTATTGATGTTTTTTCAAGCTTTTGAGAAATGAGTATAGTAGAAAATAGACAACAATCTAAAAGACCTTCAAAAATTACAGAAGAGAAAATCGGCGAAGTTTATGATAATTGTGAAAATGTACCACTATCGAATGTTCATGGTGTTGCAACAGTCTGCTTCATTCCATGAATAATAGCAAGCCAAATTATCACTGAATATCATCTAATGAACCCATACAGGGTATAATTTGTCCTACGACTTCATGAAGAAGATTCACAAGATCGAGTTGAAATTACATCACTTTGGTAGGCATGTAACAAAATACCCACACCCTCAGGAGAGCTCTTTTTTTTCCAGACAAAGTCTATTTTGATTTAAATGGTTTATCAATAAATATAAAGTGAAGACCTATGCGTATGAGATACATATAAAGATTTGGTTGAATTCAAAATAAGAACCGATAACGAAAAGTAATTAATTCGAAAATAAACCTCCTACAATATTTTCTTAAAGATTTCGAAAACTATGTATTTAATGTATTTCAATTGATGGTAATCATTTTGAACATTTGTTGTAAACTAAATTATGTGAAATAGAACTTTAAAACACACACTAACATATTATTAAAAAAAAATCAAATAAATTGCTTGAATTGTATCAGAGATATTTGAATCAACTTTTTCGGCGGATTTTTGGAACATCCTGTATGTGTATTTATGGGAAATCTCGAGAAGGGTGTGAGTGTGGGGTGTGGAGGGGGGGAGTGGCGTATGGGCGTAGGTACGACAAAATAGCACAACACTACCCACACTCAGATCCACACCCTCTTTTTTTTTAATAATAAAAATAAATCTTACTAAATATTGATGTCTTCAATTTAGTGCCACTAGTAAATGTTCTCGTTGGCGATGACCTATATGCACTTCGTTGGATATACGAACACCTAAAGAAACAAATACCAGTGATTATTGTTAATGTAAATCTACACGATTTGATTAAAGTTTGTGAATAATTTTATTTTATTTTATATTTTAGCAAAGTAGATCCTTGGCTAATTTAATTTGCAAGTATTTAAAATTGACAGAAAGTAAGTTCGAGTATAGAGAAGATTTCTACCAATAATCTTTTTTAATTTAAGATTCTTTGAAAGCAACAACGCAACATAGAGACGATTCCACTAAACATGAACACGAGAGCAAGAATACTAATCATCTACCGATGCTCAATCATTATTTTTCAGAAAAAATGTGAGTTTATATAGAATAAAATAAAACAAACTATAACTATTAATTTAAATAGTTTGAAAGAAGTGTTTTATCCCTTGGGCAAGATTATTGTGAATATTTATAAAGACTTACAACAGCTCTATAGTATTATTTGACAAGAAGAATATGAATATTGTGGAAAGAAACTACCCGTCGACAAATTATTTGACTTGAATGATGAAAACATTTTAAAAGATTATCTTCTCTGGTTTGCAAAATGTTTAAAATCGTCTTGTCGAGATTTTATTCATGTGTTCGATTTCAAGCCAACAAGTTCATTGCAACACACAATTTACAATTCTTTAGTTCAAGGTTTATCCAACATTTCTTTTTTTTATTCTAATCTCATTTATAGTTCGTCGGTAATGAAGTACTTTTTAGACTCATTCACAATAATCACTATAACATTTAGCCTAAAGAACTAATGATGCTTTACCAGTGATAAAAGTAGAAAAGTTCATTTTCTATAAAACGAAGATAAATGAGAAACAGACTCACAGAAACTTGTAAATCTTTTCGTTTGATCATCGAATCAAATCACACAGTGTCTCAATAGAATCATAATCAAAAAGTGATTTTCTGTCAATATTAATAAATTTTAATATTCTAGCACGAAACAATATGCCAGAAACTAAGCATAAATGTCCAGTGACTACCGATGATCAAATGTGTATGGCACTTCGCTGGAGTATTACATATGTCACTGATGATGTATTAACGTTAAATGCGATCGTTTGGAAAGATATTAAAAAGGTAATACTGTTTTGATTATTCATGTAAATGTAATTCTTTCATTTTTTACAGGTCAAACAAAATCGAACATTACTAATCGATGCACTCAACAAAAACTTACAAGTATTCATCAATAATTTGATCAAGCTTGATATTGATCTTGCCGAGTTATTTGTCCCGATCAGCGACCTAGAAAATGGACAAGCAAATTCCTCTTGGGAACAATATCTAAAGGAGGTATACTCGAATAAAATGCGTATAAATGTAAGAATAATTCATTTTTTGTTTTTTTGTATTGTGAATATCACCATCATAAAAGAACATTTATATTCTCTTCTTTAGCATGATCCACTCTATATTTTGGATAGGATAGACAAAGCAATTAGTTTCAGCGAAGAAAAGCATTTATCAATTATTATTAAAAAATTAGTTGGTGATTTCATGAAACCAATTTACAAATCGAACAATTCATTTAAATCGAATTCAAAAAATTTTGACACCGATAATATGCAAAAACAGAAAGATGCTGAATATATTTATCGTGATATTTTTCTCTGGTGTATTTGGACACATCGATTAGAAATGGCAAAAATTTTTCTTGGTCAAATAAAAACTCGTATATGTTCAGCATTAATAGCTTCAAAAATTTT